TTTCATTGGATGCCTGCTCTTGAGACCAAGTAGTCAAACTTGACACGCCCCCTCTTGCTGATCCAGTCTTTAACGAGGGCGAAGTGACTGAAGATGGACGAGGTGTTGGCTCTCAGACCCCTACAATGGCCTGACTGACCTCAAGGGGTGGGTGTGAATTCTCCATCTCCGTACTGAGAAAAGGCGTTCAGGTAAGACAGCACCCCTTCTCCAGTACGGGAGATGGAGAATTCACACATGGGACATACCAAAGCTCCACAGTCCCAATGGGAGGGAAACATAGGAGTCCTAATTAGAGTCTCCAGCAACCACCTGCTGAAGAACCCTTCTTCCAAAGGAAGCATCTGCCGCAGCAAAATGGTCAATTTTTGTAATGACGTACAAACGGGGAAGGCGACGACCAAGTCGCAGCCCTACAAATCTCGTCAATGGACGCCTGGGTGGACCATGCCGCCGATGTCGCAGCGCTACGAGTGGAATGTGCAGTAATACGCCTAGGAGCCGGCAGGGATGAGGACTGGTACGCCTCCGCAATACAGGCTCTGATCCACCTGCCAATAGTACCCGAGGAAACCTTCTGGCCCAAAGAGGCCGGACGTTAGGAAACAAACAGGGCCTCTGATTTACGAAATGGTTCTGTATGTTTAATATAACGCCGCAACGCCCTACGGATGTCTAGCGTGTGCCACTGCCGCTCCAAGTCGTGGGAAGGATCGGGGCAAAAATTGGGCAAAATGACTTCCTGTGCCCTGTGAAAAAGCGAATTAACTTTGGGAACAAATGTGGGGTCTAGACGAAGGACCACTCTATCGCTGTGAAAAATACAAAGGTCACTTCTGACCGATAAAGCGGCCAACTCAGAGATGCGTCTGGCCGACGTGATAGCTATCAAGAACGCAACCTTAAGAGAGAGATACCTCAATGGAACAGTCCTTAGTGGCTCGAAAGGAGGCTTGGTAAGAGCCCGAAGCACGAGCGGTAACTCCCAAGAACGATATCTGTGCACCACGGGAGGTCTAGTGTTACAGGCGCCTTTAATAAAAGCCCGAATTCTGGGATGGTGTGCCAGAGGGACTGAATCTGCACAGGTAAGTAATGTGGACAAGGCAGCCACCTGTCTGCATATGGTCGCAGGGGCGAGGCCTTTGTCCAGACCATCTAAAAGATAATCCACTATCTGAGGGATAGAGAGGTTGCGAATATCCAGTTGACGACTCCGGCACCAAAGGCAAAAATTCTTCCAAGTAGAATCATAAATGCGATTGGTCGCCGGACGTCGGGAAGCTTGAATCATGGAAATGGCACGAGCAGAAAATAGTTCT